AAGCAGCATCCTAGCTCAAAGCAAATATTTAGAAAAAAAGAAACGTTTTTGACAGTCTTACATCCTTTATGCCTAATATACACTACCAAAGGTCAAATTAATTTGCGGTATGTGCCGTTTTATTACTAAACACTAAATTGTTTCCCACAAGAAAATTTTTGTTAAGTTCTTACAGAATTCAATGTAATTAAACGATTATTAATTACGGTCAATTTTTTATTGGTACTTAATTGAAAATTGCTTTGTCCTTTCTATTCTTTTTGCAAGATGCACGATTTTCCGTCGTTTATCTGTGTGTCTGTCTGTTCTATCGAGATCTCAAACGGGACAAGTTGTCACTAGTAAAATAATCTAAAAGCGCTTAAAAAAATCTGTCTTCTACTTATTCAATGCTTCTACCTACCGTCTTATTTGCGGAAAACTACAGTTTCAGTTGAAAGCTGTATTAAATGTACAACTTGCAAACACCGGGCACATAAAAACTGTACTGATAGAAATCCGTTTTATGTATGTCACAGTTGTGACTCAGAATACGATATGTCTACCTACATTACAAGAAGTAGGTACTTCTTCGTAACTGTAACTTCTGTTTCTGAATACAACCCTTTGATTTCTTATTTTCATTATTGTTGTAATACTGTGACAATTTGCCCCAGGTTGTCACAAGAATTCTACTGAAGGTTATAATAAGACGATTTTAATCGTTGGTATCAACAACTAGCCCCGGTCTCTTTTGCCAAGGTTTTTAACATTTACATTTTTTTCTTAGTTTATTTGTAATAAAACGTGGCACAATTGTTGTAGGTTATCCACAGAAAAATAAGGTCTGTCCAATACCCTAATAAAAATATTTAGTTGTTTATTGAAAAAAAGTTGGATGCCGTTATGCGTGGCCAATTTTTTTTTTTCAAAAATCCGGCTGGCTATTTTTCGTTTCCGTACCTATGCCTAATATACAGGGTGAGTTTTTTTTCATTTTGGGCATTGGGATCTCGGAAACCATAAGCCATACGGATTCGGTTAAATGAGCAAAGAGTTGTCGTTTTAAGAGCTTATTTAAGATATGCTTTTGTTCTTTGAAAAAAATGCGCGGTTCACTAGATATGGGCGAAAAACTGATTTAGTGATTTTTCATTTAACTGTTGTAGAATCGTTATTAGAAATACAATAAAATGACACGAATAAAATTTTTAGACATTTTAATGCTTAACATGACGAACATACTAATTTATTTTTAGATCTTACAATTTTTGAGTTATAATACAAACTATAATTTTTTAAATTGTAGTCATAGTTGGCTTTGACATTTTTAAAAAGGACAAATTTTTCTCTTTATAACGATATAAGGCTTGCTAAATGTACTTTAATCAATAAACGCCCTGCAGTAATTTTCGTATTATTGAGAGGTAAGTAAACAGAGTTGGCCATGGAAAACAATATCTAGTGAGACCTTTCATTTACGACGAAAATTGGACAATATTATCTTCATTTTCTACCAAATGAATTTCAGGATATGTAAGATGGGTTAGATTTGGAAACACGACGTAATTTACGCTGGTTTCAACACAACGGTGCCCCCTCACACAACTAACTGCAAGTTAAATATTATAATAGACAATAATTAAGAGAACAAAAATGTTTCCCATGGCAAAATCTGTTTTTACTACTCTTAATAATACAAACAGTACTGTATCATGTTTATTTGTCAATGAACCTTATATCATTGTAAACAGAAAAAAAAACACTTTTTAAAAATGTCACAGCCAACTTTAAAAAAATGTAAGTTTGCGTTATAACTCGAAAATTATAAAAGAAGAATAAATATTAGTAAATCTATCTTATTAAGCGGAAAAAAATCTACAATTTTTGTTCTTTGCATATTTCTGTATTTCTAATACTAACGATTCTACAACAGTTAAATGAAATTTAGATTTGCATTAAAACAATTTCTAGTAGAAAAAGCGTACTATCACCTAAATGAAAACCTAAACATTTGAAACCTTTTAAAATAATTATTGTATGTTCGTCACAATTTTAGAATGGGATATTTTAATGTGTCGGTTTGGTTCAATATGTTATACATTTTGTAATTTTAGTATTTGTGCTAAGTATATTGTTTGTATGTATTAGGGACATGGTGTTGCCACCTACTATAAGGTAAAGCAACAACGAATAAATAAAATAAAAATGAATGAAAAATCACTAAATCTGTTTTTCGCTCATATCTAGTAAACTGCGGATTTTTAAAAAAAAAACAAAAGCATATCTTGAATAAGCCCTTAAAACTACAACTCTTTCCTCATTTAACCGAATCTCTATGTCTTACGGTTTCCGAGACCCTAATGCTTAAAATGAAAAAAAAAACACCCTGTATTTATAATATCCAAAATTTGAATCGAATCCGTAGAGCCGTTACCTCGAACAATTGCCAACGAACGCACGTACATACAGACGGAAAAAGATTTTAATGTAAAAATTTGATGAAATTTTGTTCCAAAAATCGGCGATCGCAATAGTTACCTAGCTTATACTAGGAAGCTAAAAACTACAAAGTCGGAGTTACCAATTATTTAGTATTGCATTCGGAAATTAATCTCCAATAATTCCATGGCTTGCTTAAAATTATGTAACATTTTTCGTTTATTGTTTGGCGCAGTCTCCATCAACACGGCCATAAGAAATACATTGTAAACTTCAATACAAACCTTCAAGATTAATTTCTAAATGAAATACCAGGTATTTGGTATTTCCGACTTTGTAATTTTTTCTCTATCTAGATAGTGTAAAAATCCTCGTAAAAATCCAATCGTCAGAACGCTCAGAAAAAACCACTAAAGGTTTGTTAAAATTGTTTTTTGATATCTTTGACCATAAATGAACGCTAGCACGTTCTTGAAAATTACATTTTTCGGTTTTTTCGACATAACTACGTTATTTGTAAAGCTACAAGAGACAAGTGAAAGGGAAAATTAATTAGCATAACTGAATATTTAAGCGACTTTGTATCTCTTACAGTTTACCATAGTCAAAATGAAAAAAAAACTCACCTTGTACAATAATATATTTTTTATTTCTGTAAGTTACAAATTTTTGGATCAAATTTGCCGCCCCCTAAAATCTGCCGCCCGAGGCTCCAAGGCTTGCTGGTAAATCCGCCAATGGCTCAGAAGTTACAAAAAATAAATTTCTCGTGTAATTTTCATTAAATCTTGAGTTGTAAAAGCAATCTAGAGTCTAGTTCACAATAATCATGCTAACAAGGGGAAAAAGCTGTTTTAGAAGACGATAGAACACACACAAATCAAAGTTGCAATTTCATTTCATAATGTTAATAAAATAATATTTCGAACTAGGGTACCGAATTTCAGTCAGTCAGTAGACTGGGTCCGTTAACTTGGCCCCCACTGAGAGATTTCATAGTCGTATTATTTTGAAATGAATGCGCTCGTTATGCGCTCATATGCGCCACCGATAATAACTCTTGCGCCATTATCGTTTTTTAGAAATCCGAAAAAACATTGGGGGGGGGGCAAGTGAACGTAGCCCCCCCCAGTACGTATTTTGTCCCTTGTAACTAGGTCACCTGATACATTTGGTTATGCGCTCAATTGCGCCACTTGAATTAAAGCTAGCGCCATTGCGGTTGAGCCATAAAAAATTTTTAAAAAGTGGAGGGTCTAACTTAGCGTTTTCAAAAGTTATTTCCGGAAGTGCGTCCATTTTGAAAATATTTTACATCGATTCGGCCATCGGAGTAACTCCTAAATACAAATTTTTAAAAACCTACCTATTTTACTTTCTCAGAATCGTTTAACTAAAGCTCCCAAAAAAACACCCTGTATAGTGTTTCTGAAACACTATAATGGCGCCAAGATTTTTGTTTACGGCGCATTTTAGCGCATGATGAAAGGTACGATGTAGTAGAAAAAACATGCTAAAAAACGTAACTTTTGAAAACGTTAAGTTAGCCCCACCCCCTTTTAAAAATTTTTTATGGCTTAACCGTAATGGCGCTAGCTTTAATTCAAGTGGCGCAATTGAGCTCATAACCAGATGTACCCTCCCCCCAAATATATTTAAGGATAACCAAAAAACAATAATGGCGCAAAGATATCTTTTTACGGCGCATTTCAGCGCATACCTGAGAGTACAATTTCGTATGAAAAGATGTTCAAAAAAAGTAACTTTTAAAAACGTTAAGTTGGCCCCCCCACTTTTTGAAAATTTGTCACGGCTTATCCGTAATGGCGCTAGCTTTAATTCAAGTGGCGCAATGGGGGGCTACGTTCACTTGCCCCCCCCCCAACTGTTTTTTCGGATTTCTAAAAAACGATAATGGCGCAAGAGTTATTATTACCGAGCGCATTCATTTCAAAATAATACGACTATCAAATCTCTCAGTGGGGGGGGGGGGGCCAAGTTAACGGACCCCAGTAGAATACAGAAGAAAGTCGTTGCTGAACGATAACCGCTGTGTAACGACGCCGTGGCGCGTTAGAGAGGCCTCTAAAATCCTACATATTCAGAGGACCGATGTTTTATCTACTGCTCTTATCTAATGTTGTAACAAAAACCTTTACATTTTTGAGATGCAAATGCTTTTCGATTTTACTTTTTTTTGGGATTTAAATATTGATGATCATTGTATTACAAAATGTTGATGCTGCGATAACTACTCTATCATTGTTTTGGAATTTCAAACCGTTAATATAAAATTAAAGCATGTTCCTTTAATATTTGTATACGCAAGACATCAAATTATAAACGTTGAGGATGAAGAAAATTTACTGTCGCAATTACGACTAAAGCCGTGAGAATCATCAATAGATTTCCAATTACATCCTTAAATGAGCTCCCACAAGTCGCAAATTGCATTACACAGTAGACTGGCTACAATCAAAGTGGTTAAATCGCGCCTAATGACGTTTTCGATTTTCACATTTCAAGCTCATTTTCGCTCCGCGCCGGATCATTCGGAAAATTGGAAACGCTCGACTTACCTTGGAGCAAATATGCCGGTCGAAGTTGCTGTGGAACACTCGGGCCCGATGTGATCGACACACCCGCCCAGGTGGTGTTATGTAACCCCAGCTCCGCCAGAAGGTCATACTGACTCGGCGATTGTGACGATAGAAAACTCGAAGGATCTAAGCCAGTCGCTGAAAAAAGAAAACGGAATGGGATTAGTCGCAAGGTTTTTTCTATTGCCATAAGGGTGACTATTAATAAATTAGCGCCAATCGATAACGAGTCCTATGAATAATTTTAACCCTACCCCACGTGTTCCCATTAGCAACCTCATTTACACCAAAAATTATTGACCAAACTGTATGTTTTCATTGTACCGCATCCATTATGGAGATTTGCGACTCGTTTCCAAAAGAGTAAGTAACAAATGGAGCTTTTAAAGGTCAAACACCTTAAAATCACTTGCCCTTTAAAAAGAGCTTTACGTTGGCGTGCAGCAATTGCTCGACACGAATTCTTCCATTACATTAGTCAGTCTATAGACGGGGTGTAGATATAAATGTGGGGGTGGAATTATTTTTACGAGCAATTAGTTTCGTGAATTCGTGCAGTTGCGTTAGACAGCTTTAAAACGTAGGTATAGTTCCTCTTTATTATTATGACAACTACCGTAAGGGATTCGAGCGACAGGAGTAAGGAAGGCCGCAACTTTATGGACTCTAGTTTTTAGGACGTAGTAAATAAATTCGTTTCATTCGGAAAACGCTTCAGAGATATGCATCGGGAGCAAGAGCGCTATAAAATTTACCTTCATTCTGAGGAAGTAGTTTTTGTGAAAAAATGCGGACCGGAACATGCGATGTTTTCGCAACGCACGCTCTCTGGAGAAGGCCTTTGAAACGAAGGGCCCATTTCGTGATGTCGACAAACTAAAATGGTATGATGCAGAACTGCAAAGAAGGAGTAATGACTATATACGCAAAGCGCTTAGTAAATTGTATAAAAAGTTATTTGTGCAAGCATCTTTTAAATAAGAGATGATGTAGGTAGTTTTAATCAAACACGTCGTATATGTGTAGACTAAGCATCAATTAACCACCCCTAATTTGATTGGCAATCTCCCATAACTTCTGTCTAAAAAACGACTAGGTATTTCTATACAAATTGAGATCATATTGGACCGTAAATTTAATTACCTTATTTCTTTATTTACAGTCAAATGATAATGAATTTATATGTGCTTATTATTATACTTACAACACTGACTTGTACACAATTTACTACATACGCGCGAACTTTACTAGTGATCACTTCGGCATCGATATTGAAACTGCCCTAAAACAAGCTTCAATTTGCTTATATATCAAAGGGAAAGTATCTAGAAAAACTCACGAAACGTGTCTCGAGGGGTCTAGAAGACTAATCATATTTCAAGGAAAGAATGCGTCGCATCCGCTTTCACTCCTTATCACCGGTGACTAATCTCCCCTCGGTGCACGGGATACTCGCTACAGTAGTGCTATGCGCAATGGCAAACGGTCACTAAACCAACCGCAAACACATGTCTAACTAATTTTATTAAACAGAGTTACTAAAAATTTATTCGACGCAAATGAAATAAATAATGGCGGCCAGGGCAGCAGACAAATACTACGCACAAGCGATTGCGTCATGCGTCGTCGAACGAAATTAACATCTGCGTTTTTTTATAGGCGAAATCTGCTTATTTTCAAACATAATTAACGATAAAAAAAACTCTTATCGCAATGACCGGAGATAACAATGCAATTATTTACAATGAACATTATCTTTTTATGCGTAATTCAACTTTATAACATACATAAACCCTTGACCGCCGCAACCCCAAAGACACCCAAATCACCGCGTTCCCCCGCATGAATCCGTTAGTCTAACATGCAGAATGTTAGGGGAACGTCAGTGGCGTAACTACAATACCTCAAAGGTACGCAATGAGGACGGACCCCGATTTAAAAAAGGGCTCTGGCAAAAATGTACAAAAAATTTAATTCAGAAACACGGAACGCAAAAAAACACACTCAATGAATTTGAATAGCAAAAGAAAGTTTATTGAATAGTTTATTTAAGAGTGTAAAATGAATCGAAATGCCGAAAGAGCCCCTACAAATTTAGACAGAATGCATTTAAAGCCATACCGTGTTCCCCTCGGACAAAAGTACCGAGCCGAAGAAACTTCCGAAGCATTGTTCACAGAGTGAAAATTTTGAAGCAATATCTACAATATAGAAAAATTAACAATACGAGGAAGTAACTCATGCATTTGAATAATTTAAATCTTACTTTAACCTAATACAAAATTTGATATGCCAATCCAAATAGATTTAAGAGCAACTCCACCCCTTTCCCATTTGTGAAAAATAACAGTCCGAAGTTTCTTACATAAAGTACATGAAATACTTTTGAAGGTCCCGGCTACGGTTAACCTTAAACTGAGGTTGTATTTCGAGATAAATGTCGCTAAGTAATTTTAACACTCCAGCATGCACGTCAAAAAACGCAGATTAATATACCAAGAATTGAAGTCGCTAATCAAACTAAACGAGTTTAAACATTAAACATTAAACACGGCAAAATAAAGATAACATTTAAAGTGAAACAAGTAAATAACAAAACAAATTCAAGGGTTATCTACTGCTAGTTATACACGTCGGCGAAGGCAATACAATTCACAAAAAAACGAAGAATTAAAATTAAAATTAAGTGCATTACCTTTTGTAATGGCACAAATATTACACAAAACTTGACAATTAAAGTTCGAACAAAATCATCTGGACTCTCATTGAACGCTGAAAACAGTGACACTAAATTTTACAATGGGCCTGTAGGAACTTCAAAATGCAAAATCAGCACAGCTAAATCAAGAGACTATTTCCTACATATAGTTCGTTTCACCAATAATTTAACATTTCTCATTAGGTCGTTAAGTAGCGGGAATTCCCACTGCGACATTTAAAACAATCGGACAATAGCCCCCATTTAACTAAAAGTCAGCGGTTCTCAATAAAATTTTAATGTTTCAAACGCCAAATTGTAATTGGGGAAACTACTTGGAATGTGTCTACCCATTTAATTAATACATTAATATGGTATCAACACGATTATTGTCGTTAATGTCCTATCGACGCATTCCTTAAGGAACTACATTTTAAATACAGGGTGACAATTTGAAAACTTACCACCTCCCATATCTTAGTAAATAAACGAGATATTTAAAAAAGTCAAAATCCGTTTCGGTAATTCGGAGGGGGAATCACAATGACATAGTTGGCGACGCACCCCCTCCAACCCCTTGCGCCCCAGCCACCCCAAATTTTAAATCTTAAATAGTGACCCCCCATGTGTGATATGTCGTTGGAAAGCTCTGAAAAAATGCTTTCCAACCATACCAAATAGCATTAGATTTAGGTTAGTAGTTATCGTGCAAATCAAAAAATAAACTAATATGATACATTTAAAATCTGTCGTATTTAAAACGCAACCGGCGAACATAGACGAACTAAGACAGAGAATAATTCAAGAATGTCGAAATATTGAAAAACCAACATTGGAAAGGTTCGACAAGAGTTTGAGAATAGATTATAACTGACGATCAAAAATGAGTTGCTGTCGAGTCGGCTTTGGAAGTTCAAGTTAAATACGATTTTCCATGTTTATTTTTTGATTTGCACGATAATTACTAACCTAAATGTAATGCTATTTGGTATGGTTGGAAAGCATTTTTTCAGAGCTTTCCAATGACGTATCACACATGGGGAGTCACTATTTAAGATTTAAAAGTTGGGGTGGCTAGGGCGCAGGGGGTGTGAGGGGGTGCGTCGCCAACTATATCATTGTGATTCCCCCTCCGAATTACAGAAACGGATTTTGATTTTTTTAAATATCTCGTTTATTTACTAAGATATGGGGGGTGGTAAGTTTTCAAATTGTCACCCTGTATATCGCTTATTAAGGAAATGGGCCGATTTATACGAGCACTACAATTTGGCGTTTGAAACATTAAAATTTTATTGAGAATCGCTGACTTTCAGTTAAATGGGGGCTATTGTCCGATTGTTTTAAATATCGCAGTGGCGACCTAATGAGAAATGTTAAATTATTGGTGAAACGAACTATATACAGACTAACATTGTTTAAAAATTGTTGATATAAGGATTGTGACACTGTTGTAAAGTGACAGTATTGTATTTAAAGGTTAATGTATCTCCTGCGGATCTTTACATACCTACGCCAACGGTTTTTTTTAAATCAAGAGAAAATAAAAAAAAAACGCCGAACTGCGTAGAAATAAATTGGTTAAAATTAATCAATTCCTGAAGCTTTCACAAGCAATTCCTGTAGCTAGCATCTAACCATCAAGTTTTTTTAAAAGGTCAGAGTCGCGTAACGTCAGAATATCGATATGAGGGTGGTATCTTGAATCTGAAATTTCTGGGGTGTATTTCTAGTGAATTTTGAACACTCTGTATAAACTTTTTGGACTGTTATTACATATTAAGTAAGGCCAATTCCTTATTTAAGTAAATCCAGAAAATAATGGGTCTGTATTATTCAGTGGCGGATTTACAAATTTGCCTATTCCATTTTTCACGCCCCTACACTGACTAACTGAAATTCGGTACCCTAGTTCGAAATATTAACTCTATTAATTCTAACAATGAAATTGCAACTTTGATTTGTGTTGTATCGTCTTCAATAAAACAGCCTTTTCCCCTTATTAGCATGATTATTGTAACCGAGGCCCTAGGGGATCGTTATGTGAGTTTCTAGATTATTTTTACAATCCACGATTTAGTGAAAATTACACGAGAAATTATCTTTGGGTAACTTCCGAGCTAAAGAAAGCTCAATCATGTACTGCTTTAAACATTCTTACACCAATAGGAACACAGCTTATACAAAACTACTAAATTTAAATTGTAATATTGGATCGCTATTGGAATATTTTGAAAATTCATGATCTCAAAGTATAATTTACAGAGCGTCTGGTAATTTTTCGTATACAGACGTAGAGTGTTCAGTATACTGCAGTACAGTACTAAAATATGGAGATTTTTGTTAATTTTGGGAGACTCGTTTTCTGTATTTATACAGGGTGTGAGTTATTTTGGTTTCTAGCTTGCTTGAGCTATAGGTGGCTATTACTATCACCGATTTGTGGACATGTAAAATTTTTTTAAAGAATAAATTTTTGTTCCGAGATAACGGCTCGACGGTTTTGTTCAAATTTTCGATCTGTATATTAAGCATACGGAAACGAAAAACAACGGACCGGATTTGGAAAAAACATGTTTGGAGCGCCGTAAAGGTCACGAACTTTATTTTTCTAATTGCAACGCAAAATTTCTATTAACTATTCGAAAGACTTTCTTGTTCTGCGTACAACCTACAAATATTATGATTTTCTAACAATTTTTCTTTCGACAAAACGTTACTTTGATTTCGTTAAAATTTTGGCAGGTTTCATTAAACAAAATGTAAGGCTGTCAAAAAGGGTTTAGCAAGGTTTTAGGAAGTTGTTCTGTCAAGAATGTGGCACCTGATTTTCATTTTCACTATGAGGATGTCGTAAACCGTAAGAAAAACAAAATCGCTTAAATAGGCAAAGTTATGCAAAATTTTATGCTAGTTAATTGTCCGTTTCAAAATTTCTTGTAGCTCTACAAATTGCGAAGCTCTGGCCAAAAAATCGGAAAATGGACTGGCGACCTGCCATTCATTTATATTCAGATATCAAAAAATAATTTTAACAAAACCTTCCTCATCTTTCTACATCAACTTTGTTATTGCTTATGGATGCCATATTGAATTTTTACGTCACTAGATAGAGAAAACCAGTTGCCAAAATCTTGACAAAACAGCTTCCTAGCTCAAAGCAAATATTTAACCAAAAACAATTTTTTACAGTCTTAAATCCTTTATGCCTAATATACACTGCCAAAAGTCATATTAATTTGCTGTATGTGCCGTTTTATTACTAAACACTAAATTGTTTCCAATAGGAAAATTTTGTTAACCTCTTACAGAAGTCAATGTAATTTGGATTTTATATCTTAAAATGATTATTAATTACGGTTAATTTTTTATTGGTACTTAATTGAAAATTGCTTTGTTTTGGATCCCTTCTATTGTTTTTGCAATGTGCCCGATTTTCCATCGTTTATCTGCCTGTCTGTCTGTTCTATCGAGATATCAGCCCCTGGGACACCTAAAAACTTCGGGTTTTCGCTAATTGATAGCTGCTATGGTTTATATTTCCCGTTACCCATCATTTACACGTGTGCTACGCGACAACACCCACGAGTGGGTTTTGAAAAATTTGTTTAATTTTTGTTCATCTTTGTCTATTGATTTATTTATTTTTTTTATTTTAATGTGACAAGGTATCATATAATTAATAATCGTAATTCCTAACTAGAATTACTAGTTTTTTTATCATTATCTATCGTTTCTCTAAATGGGGTTGAGTGATATCAAAGATTAAGAAAATCGGATCTCAAAGCCTTCCCCATACATTTATTGTTGTAACCTCGTTTGTAACCATCTATTCTTTTCATTTTCAACACGTTTTCTATGTTTACAACAACACCTTCCATCAATAATAATTAATGTAAGTAATCAGCTCGTAATCGAGATCAATTTTGTGTTTAGCTAATTTATAGTTCACCTGATGATGGAGATTTTCGCCGAAACTATAGTCGTGTTTTAATAGTACAACAATAAATTTATGGGGAAGGCTTTGAGATTCGATTCTCTTAATCTTTGATACTTTAGTTTTGCCAAGTTTTTTAACTTTGACATTTTTTTCTCAGTTTTTTTATAATAAAACCTGGCACAATTTTTGTAGGTTATAACCCACAGAAAAATAAGTCTTTAAGATACTTTAATAAACATTTTAGGTTGCTATTTGAAAAAAAATTCGGTGCCGTTTAGGCGCTCCAAATTTTTTTTTCAAAAATCCGGCTCGTTTCCGTATGCCTAATATATATCCAAAATTTTAAAAAAATCCGTCGAGCCGTTACCTCGACGCACGCACGTAACAATACAGAAGGAAAGAAAGAAAGTGGAGTTTTTCAACTCGAGTTCAAAGAGAGTTGAAAAACACTTTCTTCTCAAGTTTTACATATAATTTTTTCTGAAACTACAACCAAAATTGAAAAAGTATCGTATGTAATAATGAAGTTTGACACGTACCAATTGTTTTTTTATTTCCTCACTAGAGAAGAAAATCGCATTTTCTTCACCCTTTTTAGAGACAAATGTAGTTATTTCTAAAGTAGTTTCAGAAAAAAATTGTTTTATTAAAAGTTGCTTAAAATGATCTAAAACGTGGACATATGATGAAATTTTAACATGTCCAAAAAATGGTAATCACAATAGCCACCTAGCTCATGCTTGGAAGCTAATTTTTACCTACCACCTTTGAAGTTCTTTTGAACATGGAACCTATTCCACCTTGTGACGATGGAAGTGATGAGGATGACATTCGGACAAATGCACGTATTTTCCCATCAAACGCTTCGGAAAAATTTCCAGTTTGCAATTAATTGACTGGAATATTATTCAAAGAGTATCAATTTTCAGGTTTGAAAAACAGTCGTCAGTATATCACCGGTCGGGCTATAAATATTATTAAATTACATCAGCAAAATTAAAATCAATCGTCTTGAAGTTTTTGCTCATTTCCATTTTTTTAAATTATGTTTTGTTTTCGATCTATTTTTTTATGCAGAATTTGTACACGGTAATAAGTAATATGATCAATAAATAAAAATAAAGAAATGTTTAATTCTATATATGGCATACAAAGAGTAAACTAAATCAAGACTACTAACAAAACTCGGTATTTGGAGCGCCAAATCATCAAAATCCTAGCCCTACTTATGACCATTAGAAATACATTATAAATTTCAATGCAAACTTCAAGATTAATTTTCATTTCCAAATTCCAATTATGTAATTTTTTCTCTATCTAGGTAGCGTAAAAATCCAATATGGTGTCCATAAGAAATTAAAAAATTGATGTGATTGGCTCGAACCAACAAGTCATAAAAATATTTGATTTTAGCATCGCCAGAAAGCTCAGAAAAAATCACTAACAGTTTGTTAAAATTATTTTTTGATGCATACCTTTGCCAATTTAAGAGACTTTGTATCTCTTAGGGTTTACCATAGTCAAAATGAAAAAAAAACTCACCCTGTACAATAAATAATACCTTTTTTTATTTCTGTAAGATACAAATTTTTGGACCTGCTGATAAATCCGTCATTGGTTAAACTGAATTCATATTTTTCTTAAAACACGAACAAAAACAACTTTCTACTTCTTACGTTTCTATAACGCATACAAAGAATCTAAAGTTCCGATCCGTATTTGAAAGAAATATACGTCGAAGAGTCGAGGGAGTTTTATTAACTCCCTCAAAGTTGGAAAAGCAATTAATTTGCATTACTTACGGCAACTGACAGTATCCACGTTAACAACAATCGAGATCTCCCCCCAGTGGAAGCTCACAGGTCATTTAGCACATTTTACAGGAAATTTGGCTTGGAACTGTGTTGGCTCCGTACGATCTTTAGCAATTAATTCACTTTGAAGGTAAACGATTTTTGCGTGAAAATATTGGCGAATAAATCAACGTAATGGCCATAAAACTAATTTCGAAAAGTATATCCTATAATCATAAACTCGGGAGTGCGTCTTCTATTTCACTTGTAGAGTTATATAACGAAGTTTTATTGCCGCACTTCTTTCACTTCCTCTCCATGATAATGGAGTGTGGTAAGTGACTTATGATTTGTATCGGTTCGAAGTGTGACTATAAAAATGAATATGAACTGTTGAACGAAAATCAAGTGCAATAGATAGCGAAAGTGAAGCCAAGGAACTGTTACGTACCAAAAATATCGAATAGTAAGTAATTCGGGTCGCGTTTGATAAGGACGGACCGAGATCCTTTGGGGTGGTAAGGGAGAGCGTCGAGACGCTGGCGCCGCGAAGGCTGGCGGTAGCGCCGCAATAAATTTGATCGTGGACGCCGTCGCGGCTCGCGGACATTGTCACAGTTATACGAGAAGCATGAAAGAAGTATGCGTGTACGAGCTGAATCCGGAATGTGTTACATAAGCCCTGCTGTCTGTCTCTCCGACCGCCGATTTTCTCCCTTTACATTAATTGCGTCTCTACTTAACACGATTTTCCACTCCGGCTCTTCGGGGATTAAATTCCCGAATGTTTCGGCGACGAAGTGAACCATTCCAATTTTCACTTGAGCTACGTTATAGTACGATTAAATACCCAACTGGCAAAAGATCAAAATGTATAAATATTGTGCATTAAATGATCGCTAGACTAAACTAATAACTTTCAGTTTACTTTATTGGTCTGCAATCGCTTCAAGACGGGCAGTCATTGTCCGATTTATTTTTTGTCAAGCAACCTTGCCAAAATTAAGTTTCCACAACGAAATGGAAACACGTTTTGCAATATTGGAGACTTGCACATTTTATTTATAGCCCAGAGTAAGGATAATAAAAGACGTTCCGAGCTATAATTAAAACTACGGTGCACTAATCTACCGTAACATATTCCTGTTGATCCTTCGCTGGCGGGCAGCAAACCGACGCGACGCCCACCGGAGCTTTTACCCTAATTAACCTAAACAGGAATTTATAAGTGGAGGGTTATAAACAAACGCACCTACGTTTTGATGCCTTTTAGTTTAAATTCCAGAAGAGTTGGACGCCAATTTGTAATATGACCGCACCCATCCAATTCGAAAGTCGAAAAGGAACTTCACCGGGAAACTGAGTTAAAATTCACCTTCAACTCATTCTTGGAACGTCCAACTGCGCATATGGGCGATCACACGTGGCAGTGGTTTAATCGGCATTTTTGTTAATTCCAGTTACTCCGTCTTGGAATGGGTCCCAATTTTCTAGTGCTATGGATTTACACGTGCCCGTCTTCCTTCCTGCCTTGCGAGTCAAATAGGGATCACAGAATATGATTGGTGCCAAAGGCTCAAAGAGGTTAGGTTCGTCCAAATTTCCACGGAACACAATGTTCCAATGGTAGGTATATGTAAATAAATATAAAGAAACGCGAAGAAGTTAGTTGCTACATACAGGGTAGCCATTTGAAAACGAAACAGGGCCTATTTTTGGGACCTCAAAAATCTACGAAAAAAATACTCGGACCCGTCAATTTTTTATTCAAGGGGGAACCATTTTTTTTGCTAGGGGGTTACAAGCGCTCCCAAAATTTTAAGTCGAATAGGGGGTCGAGTGATACCCCATTTTGAAGGTATTTTTAAGTGGATTATAACCTTTAAGTTTTAAATCGCTACTAATTTCCCTAGCCGATACAGAGGCTAATAAAAGTTACAAAAATGTGTCATTTTCTTATGAAAAAAAATTCTTGTAAATGAATTAATGAAATAACAAAAATAAATACAACAATATATACAAAAAATGTTGCTCTCCTACATTTTGAACCGTACTTTTTGTCGTTTTTTTTTCTTTTTAATACTGGTAGGGTACATATGCCAATTCTGCAACACAAATCTTGGTTATTGTTGAGAGCGTTACTATAGCAACATTTTGAAGTTTAATAGTGATTGTCAATTACGGTTGTCAGATCATAGTAGTAACAAATAGCACTTTAAAGTTATTTAGTTGCAAAATCGGTACATTGAACAGTGATAATGGACTTTGCTGAAAGAGTTCAAACATAATATAACACATTATTATACTATTGTTCAAATAATGTCTTTTTTTTGCGAACAATGAAAATGCTAATAGAACTGCCCAGCTCTTTAATCTACAACACCACAATCGACAGGTTCTTGGGCTGGCATTTTTGGTAACCAATAATCATAGGCCCCTTTTTTTACCTGGCAATTTAACAGGAGAGATGTACCTGCAGTTATTAGAAAATACGATTCATTCAGCATTAGTAGAGATACCTACTAGAAAATAACGAGTACTTGGAAAATCGTCTAGTATTTCAGCAAAATGGTGCGCCACCACACTATGCTACAAAGGTTCGTCAATATTTGGACCAATCGTTTTCAGGACAATGGATTTGAAAAAGAGGAGCTATTGGATGGTATCTGATATGTCCTTTAATTACCGTTGTCACAAACACACATAAGTAACAAATAACATTTATTATAATTAAAGTACACACTTAAAACGTTGCTGAATTGTCGAAGCCAAGATGGTTGGTTCAGTCGGCTGTGTCTCCCGTACGTACATTCTCTTAATACACTACAATTCTTCCCTTCTTAGATTAATTGTTGTACAAGAAATGAACTACAATACACTTAAGTACATTCAAAATCTTTGAAAATTTCTGGTTTCTTAATTTTCCTACCTGACCTACTAACTATTGCTTCTGGTATAGTTCCAGAATTGTTTCTGCTATAATTACTACCTATAGTTTCTGGTAAATTACCCGAATTGTTTGTAATTACATTTTCAACATGTGCATTTACTAAAGGAGTTATATTAGAATCTGCAACTGTTTGTTCGTCCTGAACATCGTCAATAATTTCCGTTTGAGGAGTGGAGGTTGAACTCTTTTCTTCTAATCGTTGGCTTGGTACTTTAGTTGTATGGTTTTCCGAGGTCTTCTCGATGTCGTGGTTCAGCTCTAACCCGAATTTCCGAATCTGATCCAGATGTCTTCGCCACGTCTGACCGTTTAGTAACATGCAAAGGTAATTTTTCTTCCCTAGCACTTGAGAAATTTTTGCTTTGATCCAGATAGTATTGTTTTTATCTCTGTAATCCTTAACCATAACTGTCTCCCCCTCTTGAAAGGTTTCATGTCTACCCGTTCCATTATTTTCCTTATTCTCCCTCCTCGGTTGAAGTAAGTTGAATAAAGTTCTAACATTTCTGCCTATCATGAGTTTCGATGGTGTTTCATTTGTGGCGCAATGCACAGAGTTCCTGTAGTTAAGTAAATATCGACTAACTACTAAACTAGGAGTGATATTATGTTTGTGAGTTAACAGTGCTGCCTTTAATGATTTCTTGAACGTTCGGACTGCGTTTTCGGCTGCTCCATTTGTAGATGGGTGATACGGTGCTGATGTAATCTGCCTTATCCCATTTTTTATGAGGAAGTTTTTGAATTCCGTCGACACAAATTGTGGTCCGTTATCAGAGACTATTGTTTCCGGTATTCCCCAAGTACTGAAAATGTCCCTGAATTTTTCAATTGTCTCTTCCGATGTCGTTCTTTCCATCTTCTTGATCTCTGGGTATTTGCTAAATGCATCTAATACTATTAGGAAGGTGTTTCCTTTAATAGGACCCAAAAAGTCCACGTGAATACGTTGCCACGGTCTTGTTGGTTTGTTCCAACTCATGATCTCTGATTTTTGTGGATTGTTTGCGATTGTCTGGCAAGGTATGCATGCTCGACACGTTTCTTCAATATCCTTATCCAGATTTGGCCAATAGAAGTATGCTCGGGCAATGGATTTCATTTTGACTATCCCCAGATGACTACTATGTAATTCGTCCAGCAATTGTTGTCTAAATTTTGTAGGTATTATTATTCTGTATCCCCACATGACGCATCCCTGCTCCAGAGTTAATTCTAATCTTTTTCTAAAATATGGTGTTAATGTTTGCTCCTCCACCTTGCTTGGCCAACCTACCGATAGGTAATTATACACCTTAGAAAGTACCACATCTTTTCTAGTTTCCAATGCTACTTTCTTGTAGTCTACCGGTAAGTTTTCGGATATGATCATATTTAGATGAGATGATTTTACATCTTGACCTTTGGAAATATAACAAATATCAACAGGATGCCTACTGAGCATGTCTGCTACATTATTATTTTCGCCTTTAATATATTCCAGCTTATATGAAAATCCCGAAAGAAATGCTGATCAACGTTGAAGTCTTGAAGCTGCCATCTGTGGAATTCCCTTGGTTTCACCTAGGATTGACACTAGCGGACGATGATCCGTTTGGATTGTAAACTGTTGTCCCATCAAATACTGATATAGTTTCTTGACTGACCAGTAAATTGCCAGAGACTCCTTATCTAAAACCGAATAATTTTTTTCTGCCGGCATCAACGATCTCGAAATGAACGCCACTGGCTTCAAAATTCCATTTTTATTTTTGTTAAATAATGCTCCTGCTATGCCGTCTTGACTCGCATCTGTTTGTACAACTATGGGTAAGTTAGGATCAAAGTGAGCTAATATTTGATCAGACGCAATAATACTTTTGATTTCTTTGAATGATTTTTCACAATTAGACGTCCATTTATATTTTTGATTTTGCTTCAATAGGTCATATATAGGTCGCATTAATATTGCTAATTTAGGTACAAATTTGCTATAATAGTTAACCATACCTGCAAAACTTTTTACTTGGGTAATCGTTGAAGGTCTGGGTGCTTCAATGATCGCTCGTTGTTTTTCCAGGTTTTTCTTTATACCATACTTTGAAATTGTGAAACCTAAATAGCTGACTTCTTCCTGAAAGAATGCACATTTAGTTTTGTTTAGCTTAAACCCTGCATCGTTCAGTTTTTTAAGAACTGCTTTTAGATTTTCTACGTGCTCTTTCCTAGTTGCTCCGGTTACAATGATATCGTCTAAGAAATTTGCCGTATTCTTAATGCCTTGCAGTAGTTGTTCTAGTACCTTTTGGAAAATTGAGCTGGCTGGCGTGATGCCGTAAGGTAACCTGTTCACCTTAAATAACCCCTTGTGTGTGGTCCAAGTTAAAATCATGGCTGATTCGTCATCTACGCTGATTTGGTTATACGCATAACTTAAATCTAACTTCGTAAACGATTCGCCCCCGCTTAATTCCATTAATATACTTTCTACGGAAGGTAATGGATATTGCACTTGTTTGAAATATCTATTAACGGTCAATCTGTAGTCTCCACAGAGCTTGAGTGAACCATCATTTTTGATTATCGGTACTAATGGAGTTCCCCACTCTGAAGTTTCTACTGGAGTGATAACTTGCTCCCTTTGAAGAGTATTTAGTTCATCCTCCACCCTCTTTTTAATTGCTAAAGGTAATTGTCTAGCTTTTAAAAAAGACTGGTTGCATATTCTCTTTTAGTTGCAAGTGAACTTTTTTATAATTGTAACATCCTAACGAATTATTAAACACACGTTTAAATTCTGCACAAATATTTTCTGTCTCATTACTTATTGATAACACCTCAGCTGTTATTCTAAATTTAAATTTTTCCAAGAAATCTCTACCTAACAAGTTTTCTGAAGGCTGATTGCTTTTAATTATTTGAAAACTAAAATTTTTGCAAATAGTATTGTTATACTGCACATCACCTACTATATAACCTGCTGGTTTAATTTTACATCCTGAAAAACTTCTTAAAATGATGTTTGAATCATGCAAATCTAAATTTGATAGGTATTTTTTATACGTATCATAGTTTAAAACCGATACAGCTGCCCCTGAGTCCATTTGACATGATATTTTATGTTCATTAACAGAAATATGTATGTAAATTGGTTTGTCATTGTTAAAGTAAATATTATTTATTTCAACAGTCTCTGTATCAAAGTCCAACATGTTTTGTTTAATGTCTTTAAACTTACATACCTTTGATAAGTGTCCAATTTTATTACAGCTGTTGCACTTGTAGCTCGCATACCTGCATTGTTGCTGTCCGGTGTGAAGTCTTCCACAAGCTGTGCACTTCCATTTTCCCATTTTCTTCTCCACAGAGTTGCCTGATGGGGTCTGACGCTGCTGGAATACCTTCTGCCTCAGTTGAAACGGATTCGACTTCACTAAATTTACTGATTTATCTACTGCTAACAATGTTGCTTCTTTACTAAGGGCAATCTCCATTAGCTTCTCCAAAGTTACTTCGCCTGGCTTCTCCTCACACAACCTGTCCCTTATTTTCCCTTTTTGAAGACCGCAAACGAACTTATCCCGGAGGACTGATTTCAAATTGGTGCCAAATTCACAATTTGTTGCAAGATTATGAATCCTGGCGTACCATTTGTTCAGCGATTCGTTCGCCTCCTGCGCAGCAGCATAAAAATCGATGCGCTCCCTAAAGAGGCAAGTCGCCGGTGAAAAGTGAGCCTTTAATAGCTTACATAATTCTTCGTATGATTTCGACTTTGGTAAACTGGGGGTGCATAGATCCCTTAAGACTTTGTATGTATCTGAGCCAATTAGACTCAATAACGCCGCAACCTGTTTCTTGTCCGTCTGGGTGTCCCTTATGTTATTTACTTCAAAAAATTGCTCTAATTGTTCTTGATAAACAATCCACTCGTCTGACTTGACATCGAACTTATGCATGGACCCAATTAAAACCATTATTGTTGTCTTCTGATATAGCGATTCTCGTTACTTTTACAAACTGCCCTCGATGCGGTGCACGTGCAAGTTTCCAACCTCAAAAAATAGCACCCTTTTTTTTTCTCAATATGTATCCTCGTCGCCAATTGATATGTCCTTTAATTACCGTTGTCACAAACACACACAAGTAACAAATAATATTTATTATAATTAAAGTACACACTTAAAACGTTGCTGAATTGTCGAAGCCAAGATGGTTGGTTGAAATCGGCTGTGTCTCCCGTACGTACATTCTCTTAATACA